ACCGCGGTCCCTGTGCTTTGCTTTGCTCAAGCTTGTTCTAAGTAGGTGCTTTAGACCACTGAGCCATCTCACCAGCCCCATTCTATTCAAATTTCAACAATGCCCCTAAAGCATCTCCACAAGAAATCCAGAAACTCAATCCAAGAAACTCAAGGAACCCAGAGTTTCAGAATTTTCAGCTTTCTGTTGACAATTAAGTCTCTGTATTATGTCTTTGATAAAAATGATCAAGCCTAGAGCAAAACTAAAAGGCAAAATGGCAGACAACAAGAAAATAGACATTTTGGAGCTTGGGAAGGGGGAAGAGAAAAGGATTAAAAGAGAGAAAAAGTGAAGATATAAACACCTAACATGAAAATTAAAAAAACCTAAAAACCTAGCAAGACAACACATGACTGTAATCTCTGCATTTGAGAGGCTGAGGCAGTAAGGTTGCTGCAAGTTTAAGGCCAGCCTAAACTACATAACTAGATCCTGTCGCAAAAAACAAAAACCTATCATAACAGATGTGCAAATACACCCCAAAATAAGTTTAGTTTTTATATACTGCAAATATACACCAAGAAAACAGTAAAAAGAGAGACAAAAGAGAAAATGACTGTAGGATAAATTTCTAGAAGTACAATGTCAGTCAATGGGTAAGTACGATAAGAATTACAACCTGCAGTTTCTAGAACAATGGGGAAGACATAGGACAAACGTTTGGAACCCTTTCTGTCTCTCAGAACCTGTTCTTATTTCACACATTCCCATTCATTTTCTCCACTAAATTTTCCTACTGTAAAAAAATAAATAAATAAAAGGATAGTCTCCCCCCAAAAAATGTATTACCTAAGTGCCAATTCCACTAGGCAACTCTCCTACTATGGTGAAGACAACACCTGACCAAATATTTAAGGCTATATACTAATACAGTCTGGTCAGGAAGCCTGTTTTCATAATTACAGAAGCAAACTTTGTATGCTTTTTGAGTTTAGAAACACAAACTCTCCTGTAATAATAACTCAGGATGGTGATCAAAAACACAATAAAGGTCTGCGGCGTGGACCATGCTGGGCCAGCTGGGCCAGCGGGTCGTGTCGGGGATGGGCGCGCCTCCGTGGGCGGTGGTGCCCTGGGCCCTCCACGCGGCTGGCTCACGGTTCGTGGTGGGGGCAAGCGAGGGGGCGGAGCAGCCACCCTGCGCCTTCAACCCCACGCTGCTGGAGTTCCTGGTGTGTCCGCTCTCCAAGAAGCCTCTCGGATATGAAGCATCCACAAATGAACTGATCAATGAAGAGCTGGGGATAGCTTATCCAGTCATTGATGGGATTCCTAACATGATACCACAAGCAGCTAGAGCAACGCATCAACAGACAAAGCAAGAAGAAACAGAGCAGCACTGAATCAATGTTTTAAAAAAACACTGCTACATTTTCTTAATTCTTATATACACTTTAAAACAGGGCCGCAGCAGTCTGTGAGTGAGGAGGAAGAATGTTTCTGTCTCTGCCTACTATGACTGTGCTTATTCCACTGATCTCCTTAGCAGGTCTGTTCTACTCAGCCTCTGTGCAGGAAGACTTCCCACAGGGTTGCACAAGTACAGCCAGCCTTTGCTTTTTTTTTTTGCATGTAGATATTCATTTTATTTTTTTTTTTAAAACATGATCCATTTAAATCTTTTTTTTTTTTTTTTGGTGGTACCAGGGATTGAACTCCGGCCCTTGTGCTTGCCAGGGAAGCGCTTAGTCTACTGAGCCATCTCCCCGGCCCCAGCCTTTGCTTTTATAGTCTGCTCTTGCCAATCACCATTCCAGTGTATGTGTTCTTCCACCTCTGGACCTGGATGGGTATTAAGCTCTTCAGGCATAATTAACACAGCCACAACCATGTGGCTATGTATTAAGTCCTAAGCACTTGGTGTTTGAAAGCTCAGCGAGGTGGAATAATGGAGACCTATTTAGTTTGGAGGAAAGTTGCTTTGCCTTGCTTAACTCAGTTTTAGGACTAAAAGGCTTAAGATGCAGAAGCTTTGATTGTACTTCTAGTTCTGCCCTTGTTTTTTGAAGATTCTGACTGCTGTATCAGAAACAATAAAATGTCATGATGGAGATTAATTCCTCTAATAAAAAAAAAAAAACACCCACAATAAAACTACTGATGAAATATGTAAATAGAGTTCCAGGAAGATGGCAGAGCTGTGAATAGCAGAGAAACAACCCCTCTGCGCATTGGTGTGCAGTAGCAACACAAGAAAGAAGACAGAAGAAGTAGGTCTGGGACTCAGCAAGGATCTGAATCCAGAATTGCAGCTCACAGGAGTATGAAGAGAGAAGCCTCACCATGGAAGAAAGAAGTGGCAGGCAGCACTGTCTCACTAGGCCCTGGCTTGTGCATGAGAAGAGGGTGAGGGATTTGGCTGAGGTTTAAACCTGCAGACACACGGTGACTGTTAGCAAACACAAAAGGAGAGAGGTACCAGTGGAGCAGAGCAGTGTACATGGTGCACTACGGTGGCTAAATTATTCAGGTTTGGATAACCCCCAAGAGAAGACAACTGGCCAGTAGTAGCCCTCTTGGAGAGAAGTCAATTGGGCTTGGAACTCAGAATGGTGCTGGGCTTGCTCCATCTAGAGGCTCCCAGTGTCAGGCTGAGGAACAACCAAGTTCAAATCAGCAGAACATCAAAGAAAGAGTTCAAGCCAGCAGACAGCTGACTTTAGATAAGCAGGAGATGAACAGAGTTTTGTAGCCTGAACAAATCAGGTTCCAGACTTACAGCCAAAGGCCACTCCTAATTTCAGTGAAATGAAAGGTGCAAGCTTGTTATGATTATCTACTACCCTGCTGGAATTAATCATGGCACAGAACTAGGCTATGTTTGCCCAATTTGTCTACCAGTGACAGCAGAGACACACCTTGAAATGACATTATTTCTAGTTTCTTTTTTGTTTTTGTTCTTATTTTTCTTTTTCATATTGATAGACCTTAATTTTTATGTGTGAACATTGCTGCTAGTTATTCTATCTTTTTTCTGTTGTCTTTACTTCTTCCTTTTCTCCTTCCCTCCTGTCTTCACCAGCTTTACAAAGCTAACATAATCTTCCTTTGTCTTCTGGTTGAGCTTCTCATCTCTTATTTTTCTTTTATTTCTCTATATTCCCTCTTAACTCTTGAAATTTTCTCTCCCAAGGGTAAAACTGCCATATTTACTACATACAATTTTCTGGTTTCAGATGTCATAAAACCACAAATATAGTTCATATAATTAAAGGTGGCAAATAAGTTGCCACAGTTTGTCATTTTTTAGGCTGTGTTTGATGCTACTGTTATTACTGATTGTACTACTTTAGCCAACATGACAAGGCTAAATACATTCTGGTCAGTTGTTCTTTCTGGCATGGGAATGCCAAGACTGAAATTGCCTAAGGGTCACAAACAAAACTACAGAACAGTGCCAAAGAATCAGAGGCTGGCCCCAAAATACCACAACAAACATCCCCCCCCCCACCCCACCCGGCCGCCACCAACTAAAGAGAAAGGATCTTGTAGCAGAGTCAACAATCAAAAGGCACACCTGGAAGGTTATTTGTAACAGGTAGTCACTTCCTAAGGATTCTAAATACTAGCAATAAAGATGCCTGCCATGAGGAATTTATACATACCAACCCAAGAAGAAAAAAAGGAAGAGGAATAGGAATGGAATGGAAAGGAAAAATGAGAATATACTTAAGCAAGATGAACCCCAGACTTTCAGCTCACCAAAGACAAAGCTAGGAGTCAATGAGGTAAAACAATTCAAAAACCACAAACCTGGACTCTTTGAAGTGGTAACAGCACAAGTAATAAAGGAAATAACAGGACTCTAGAAAATAAATCAAATTAGAAATAAACTCTTAGCTACAGAGATAGGTGGCCATAGTGAAAGACATTGTTCATGATTCTAGATCAGATAGAGATTTTAAGAAAAGAAAAAATAAACAGAGGCGCTTAGGAAAATGATAGAAACCATGAATGACCAACACAGGAAAGAAATGGAATCAATGAAACAGTCAGATGAACCATTCCACCAAAAGTATATTGCAGCAGGATAAGCCAATGTGAGGACACTGAGAAGAATAATGTAACACTGATCACAGTCAATGAAAAACCAGGATAGTGCAAAACAATAGAGGAGTATTTCCTACGCAAGAAAAAAGAATTTGACATACAGCTAAATGAAGGATACAGAACTACAATTAGCCATGAGTCAAACAAAATAACATGGGAAAAAACCTACTTCTAGGCATGTACTAGTAAAGATTCCAGAAATTCAACACAACAGAATATTAAAAGCTGTTGGGGGGGGGGGAATGAACAAATCACCTATAAATATTAAAAGCTGTTAGAAAGAGAGAAAACAAATTACCTATAAATCTCATCAGGATCACTGCTGACTTCTGAAAAACTTTGAAATTAAGGAGAACTAGGAATAAAGCATTTAAAGCACTGACAGAAAACAACCACTCACTCAGATTGATGTACTCTCCAAAGCTATCCTTTAAAATTGATAGAAAAACACTTCCATGAGAAGGAACATCTGAATAAATTCATAACCACCTAAGCAGCACTCCAAAATGATCTGTAGGACAGTCTAAAAAGAGATAAGAAGGACTACAACTCCATGTATTTCAACAGAATGAATCCACTAGGAAAAGGCAAGTAATTAAACAAAGGAGAAGGGAAAAGGGAATCAACCACAGGAAAATAAAATGACAGGGATCAGTCAGTTATAAGCATCAATGTAAATGGTCTCAATTCACCAACCAAAAGAAACACTGGCAGAATGGATCAAGAAGCAAGATCCAAAAATATGCTGCAAACAAGAAACATATTTAATTAAAAAAAAATTAGACAAAGTCAAAGGATGGAAAACAACACCCCATGCAACAAGAACACAGGAAAAAAGCAAGGTAGCTATTCTACTTGCAGACAAAAGTGGATTTTAAGCTAAGACTGATTAAGAAGGACAAAGAAAGGAACGATAAAGGAAACAATCCAACAAGATACAACAACCATAAATATATATACACCAAATACCAGTGCACTCAACAACAAAAATATTAACAAACATAAAAAAATCACATAACTAATAAAATTGTAATGCGAGATCTCAATACCCCTCTGTCACAAATAGACAAATCAACCAGACACAATAATCAACAGTGGGGGCTGGGGAGATGACTCAGTAGAATAAGCACTTGCCTGGCAAGTGCAAAGGCCTGAGTTTAATCCCCAGTTCCACAAAATAATAATAATGATAATAATAATAACCAACAAAGCAGTATCAGAACTGAACCAAACTTCTGAACAAATGGACTCATTAGATGTCTACAGTATTTCACCCCACAACAGACTATGTATACTTCTCAGCTGAACGTAACATGTTCTAGAAAATAGACTACATGCTAGCTCATAGAAAATGCTTAAGTAAATGCAAAGGAACAGAAATTATGCCATACATATTATCAGGGCATAGTTCAATGAAATTGGAAACCAATAGCAAAACCACAAATATGTCACAAACACAAGGAAATGAAATTAACACCATCCTGAACTACTAAGAGATCACAGATCAAATGAGGTGATAATATCAATAATAACATATCAGAACTTATGGTACACAATGAAAGCAACCCTACAAGGGAAATTTGTAACAGTGAATTCCCAGATCAGACAAACAGAAAGAGCTCTAATAAACAACTTAATGTTGAACCTTCAGTTTCTTAAAAAAACAAGAGTCAAGCCAAAATTCACACAAGTGAAATTATGAAATTACAAAGATCAGAGTAGAAATTAATGCAATAAAGACTAAGAAAACCATAAAAAGAATAAGTGGATCAAAGAGTTTGTTCTTTGAAAGATCAAATAAAATCAACAAACTGTTATCCAACCTTATTATTCAAGAAAAGAAAAACTCAAATCCATGCAATTAGGAATGAAAAGGGTGGGGCTGGGAGATAGTTCAGTGGAATAAATGCTTGCCTGGTAAGTGTAAGGTCCTGAGTTCGATCCCGGGTAGCACCGAAAGAGAGAGAGAGAGAGAGA